GTCTGTTGGCCGTGGGGCCCCTAGTCTTGGCAAAATTAATGAGCTGTTTCTCTCCATGGGATGAGAGTCTTGGGATCTCTCTCTCCATCATCTCACCATGCCTCTCTTTCTACCTCCAGTGCCACTAAAAGAGAGGTTAACTTACTGGATTGAGGAAAACAAACCTTTAGCAAAGAGCTCCATAATAAAGAGCTACCTCTGTCTCACGCATCCAGCACACTGATGGTGGGATGGTTGGTACACAGCCTTTTGGGCCAGCCCACCTGGGTTCAAATCTCAGCTCTGGTGTTTATTAGCTACACTTGAAAGAACAAATTATTTATCCTCTGTGGTGCTTTCATTTATTTTTCTGAAAAAGAAGATAATAATAGTACCTACCTCTTGAGGTATTATAAGGAGCAGTAAATGTGAAATGCTTTTAAAAGTGCCCAGGGAATTAAGCAATAGCAACCACTACTCTTACTTGAAATCTAAACTCTAATCAGTTTCAAGGGTGTAATATTCCTTCAGAGTTTGCATTTAGTTCTTTTTTTTTTTTTTCTTTTTCTTTTTCTGACCGGTAAGGGGATCGCAACCCCCGGCACGGTGGTGTCTGCACCACACTCAGCCAGCAAGCACACCGGCCACCCCTATATAAGATCCGAACCCGCAGCCTTGGCACTACCAGTGCCGCACTCTCCTGAGTGAGCCACGGGGCCGGCCCATAGTTTACTTTTAGTTCTCATTGTGATAATCAAATGGAGGCTCCAACTAGTCCAGAAGCCCCTTTTCATGAGGAAGATCTGGCAGCAAGGCAATGAAGAGATCCTGACTTTATTGTAAGTAAGTTACAAGTTTATTCTTCTCCTATAGCCCATCAATTTCCACATGTCCTAGCCCATAGTTTACTTTTAGTTCTCATTGTGATAATCAAATGGAGGCTCCAACTAGTCCAGAAGCCCCTTTTCATGAGGAAGATCTGGCAGCAAGGCGATGAAGAGATCCTGAATTTATTGTAAGTAAGTTACAAGTTTATTCTTCTCCTATAGCCCATCAATTTCCACATGTCCTCTTTGGTGTGTGAGATCAAACAGGGTCTAGAATCCTGGCCCTGGTGCTTATTGGCTGGGTAACCTTGGGCAAGTTACTTGACCTCTCTGAAACTGTTTCTTCTATTTAAAAAAAAAAAAAAAAAAGATAATATTAACTAACTTGCAGAGTTGCTGTGAGAACAAGGTATTCCAGAAAATTACTTAGCACAATGTTTGGTATATAGGAAGCACTCAACAAATGGTAACTGTTAAAATAATAGATGGTTATCATTATTGTATTGTAGAGCAGAATTTGTATCTCATAACGTTGTAGCAGCTAGTACAGCTCTTTGGTAACCAATAAAGGAATAAATAAGTTCATATATGTGTGAAATTAATAGGAAACAGAAAAACTAGTGCTTGCATTTTGTTAGTGTCAGAATAAAAGAACTAATAGAAATAGGGTAAGAAAAAGACATTTTATTACACTTGATCTTAGCCAAAAGAGAAGTGATTGAAAAGGACATGTTCCTAAAGACAGAAAACAAGAGAGAACAGAGAGTCAACGGAAAACATAAACTGGAGAGATTCAGAAAAAAACGTACAGTGGGAAAAGCTGCCCAGAGAGTAAAAATGTGACAAACACTACAGTTTACGGATAAACAAAACAAGGTGTGCAATTGCCGAGATACAGAAGATATGATACTGTAAAGTTTACNAAAAAAAAGAATATTAACTAACTTGTAGAGTTGCTGTGAGAACAAGGTATTCCAGAAAATTACTTAGCACAATGTTTGGTATATAGGAAGCACTCAACAAATGGTAACTGTTAAAATAATAGATGGTTATCATTATTATATTGTAGAGCAGAATTTGTATCTCATAACGTTGTAGCAGCTAGTACAGCTCTTTGGTGACCAATAAAGGAATAAATAAGTTCATATATGTGTGAAATTAATAGAAAACAGAAAAACTAGTGCTTGCATTTTGTTAGTGTCAGAATAAAAGAACTAGGAGAAATAGGGTAAGAAAAAGACATTTTATTACACTTGATCTTAGCCAAAAGGCTGAGAAGTGATTGAAAAGGACATGTTCCTAAAGACAGAAAACAAGAGAGAACAGAGAGTCAACGGAAAACATAAACTGGAGAGATTCAGAAAAAAACATACAGTGGGAAAAGCTGCCCAGAGAGTCAAAATATGACAAACACTACAGTTTACAGATAAACAAAACAAGGTGTGCAATTGCCGAGATACAGAAGATATGATACTGTAAAGTTTACAAAGGAATGATAAATTAAAAATAACCAGAATAGCGTTTTCTTCTTCCACAGGAAAGAAGATGTTACCAGAAGGCTTCTAAGATACCGGTAACATTTGCCCTGTTCTTAAATTAGGGAGGGGGACAGGTACACCCTGTGTTTATTTTATTACTCTGTAAAATTCATAAATATGTTTTATACCCTCTTTTGTTTGGAAAATTAATTTTGGAAAAGGGGACGAATCTTATCTTCAAAGAGAAAAGTAATGATGGAGGAAGAAATATAGAAAAAGACAAAAAAGACAGAGTCGTGAAGAAAAAAAGAGAGATGACAGGTAGCTTTCAACACAAGATGGAGACTGATGGGGAGATGACTGTGCCATCCCGTAAGTCACAGGGCACTTTTTGACAATGAGACCACCAATTTGCTTGCCATCTCATTCCCTAAATGGCCTTCTTAAGATTGTCTGTGCTCAGAGGACCCTCAGTTCCTGCCTCTTATCTGCCAGGGTGTCTGCAGCAACCCATGCCTGTCACTGAGCTCACCTTCAACACAGTCTCTCACAGCAAAAACCCATGTCGCCTCCTTCAGAGGCTTTCCTTGACTCACCACCCGGATTTCTCCTTTACTGCACAGACTTCCTTTTCTCACCCACACATTATCTTTAATTTATTTGCCTTCAAGTCTGGCGGCCTTGATAATTTTCTGTGTATTCCCCAGTGTTTCTTACGTGCATGAAGCCACACTCCTCTACCCTCTCTGCTTCTTGTGGTGGGTTTATTTGCCTTCAAGTCTGGCGGCCTTGATAATTTTCTGTGTATTCCCCAGTGTTTCTTACATGCATGAAGCCACACTCCTCTACCCTCTCTGCTTCTTGTGGTGGTGCCTGAACACATCAGCCTATACTTTAAAACTGGTTGTTTTGAGGCAGGACAGAACACTGACTTGCCCTAGGGAGGCTGCATATGGATATTCAGGCTGCTCAAGCTGACACCAGCTAACAACACCTTAACCATCCCAACAGTCAGCTCACCCTTCTTCAGAGCCTTGTGATTTTCTGAGCAGGAAACAAACCCACAAAGTACAAAAAAACCCTTTTCTCTTTTATTCTCAGAAAAGAGCTCGTTCAAGCAAAAAGGCACCCAAACCCCTTTTTCTCCCCCCTCCTTTTTAAATATTCCCCCCCTTAGTTAAGATGGAGATACACCCCTATCCCAGAACAACATATAAATCTTTCCCTAAGAAGTCACGGGGTGGTCCTCATTTGCAAGGTTGCCTGTGCACCTCCTACGTGTACTTTCACTTTGCAATAAACTTTGAGTGTAAGTGTGACCCTGCCATGTGAGCTTGAAGTTATTGTGGGTTCCTGATGGGATTCTTCACTCGGGAAATCCAAGGACCTACATTTGCCACATCACTTTCAGTGTCTAAGGAAAGGCTATTAATGAGGCCAAGGTCAGATATATGTGATCTGGACTGGATCGCCTATGGAATTTCTATAAAGAACATTATTGACAAAATTATGAGTATAGTCTACAGAGGAAATGACAATATTTTGTCAATGTTGGATTTCCTATATTTAGTAATTTTGCTCTTTTTCCAGAATAAAAGAATTTCCTTCTTAGAAACATGAAGGAACGAAGAGACATTATATATGCAACCTACTCTCTAATGTTTCAGAATAAATTTAATTGTATATATAAAGAGGATGAGAAAATAATAAAAAGGGGCAAATATTAACAATTTATGAATATAGATAAAAGAAATATAGGAGTTCTTTAGACCCCTCTTGGAAATTTAGGTTTGAATTTTTATATATAAATGATTTAAATCTTATTTAGTGAATAAAATTCAGAAAGTATTAAATTCTAATTTCTACTTAAATGTCTCAATCTCAACTCCGTGTATTTTCCTATTGATGTAATCTTATCTGAAAGAGAAGATTTTTAAAAAATTATGTCATCCTTTTTATTTCTAAGCCCCAGAACAAGACAACTGGTAGCATTTTTTCATTTTATTTTGCCACATTGCACATAATGTTAAGTTGATAAAGGTCTTGTACTGAGTTTAATAAATCATAATTACATGTTAAAACTGGGGACAGGACAAAATCACTTAATTGCTGTCACTGTGGGTGGGGTCACTTCCCACAGAGTAGAAATCTCTTCCTTAATTCACATGCTCTGCTTCTGTTTCTAATTGGCTCCCCTAAAAACATAGGCAAAGTAGATAAAGCATGAATGATTCTAGGGAATTTATGCCCCAGAATAGAAAATAACCCTGCATACATGTGTGTAATAGTAAAATTCTATCAAAAGGATGTCTTCATTAATTCTTCGTAGATGGACATAATGGAATATTCAGAACTACCACAGTTTTCAGAGCAAAATAGATGCTCGATAATTCATTGTTTTAAAAAATGAAGAGTTATTAATTAATTCATATTTTTCATCAGCTTTCTTTGCCCTCAACCAGTAAGTCAGAGGAACCGGCATGAGGCTCCCTTCGTTCCTCAATCCCACTAGACAACCTTTGACCAGAAGCAGCAGAGGAAGAGAAGGAGCTGCTGGATGGTGATGCGCCTGGGGAGGGGAGGCTGGGGGAGCAGAGGCAGAAGAGAAACGTCCACCTGGTGTGACCTCGCAAGCTTCCAGGGTGACTTTTATAAGACACGGTGAATCACGCTAGTCTCACAGCCTCATCCCTCCAGGTTTGGACGGAAACCGACCATGGTCAACCAAAGCTCTCCAGCGGGCTTCCTCCTTCTGGGCTTCTCTGAACATCCAGGGCTGGAAAAAATTCTCTTCGTGGTTGTCTTAACATCCTACCTCCTGACCCTGGCCGGCAACACCCTCATCATCCTGCTCTCTGTGCTGGACCCCGGGCTCCACTCTCCAATGTACTTTTTCCTCTCCAACCTCTCCTTCTTGGACCTCTGCTTTACCACAAGTTGTGTCCCCCAGATGCTGGTCAATCTCTGGGGCCCAAAGAAGACCATCAGCTTCCTGGGCTGCTCTGTCCAGCTCTTCATCTTCCTGTCCCTGGGGACCACTGAGTGCATCCTCCTGACAGTGATGGCCTTTGACCGCTATGTAGCTGTCTGCCAGCCCCTCCACTATGTCACCATCATGCACCCCCGCCTGTGCTGGCAACTGGCATCTGTGGCCTGGGTCATTGGACTGGTCCAATCAATAGTCCAGACACCACCGACCCTCCACCTGCCCTTCTGTCCCCACCAGCAGATTGATGACTTTTTATGTGAAGTCCCTTCTCTAATTCGACTCTCCTGTGGAGACACCACCTTTAATGAGATCCAGTTGGCTGTATCCAGTGTCATCCTCGTGGTTGCACCACTCACCATCATCCTTGTCTCTTATGGTGCCATTGCCAGGGCAGTGCTGAGGATTAATTCTGCCATAGC